ATTTATTAGTGTAGCTGACATTTTCCCACCTGCTTATCAGAAACAAACATGTGGACACTGTTTGAAAATAGAAAGCTATAAAAATACTTGGAAAAATCTAAATCATTAGATAATTAACTGTCTCGGGCTGCATGCAGTGGTACGCCTGTAATCAGCTTGGGAAGCTGAGATAGGAGGATTGCAAGTTCAAAACCAGCCTCAGCAGTGGCAGAGGCACTTAGCAACTCAGTGAGACCCTCTCTCTAAGTAAAATACAAAATAGGGCTGGGGGTGTGGCTCAGTGGTTGAGTGCAATCTCTGGTACCAAAATAGAAAAAAAAAGAAAAAGAAAAGCAAGATAATTAACTGTTTCAGAAATGAAATAAAATTGATACCCACTTAGAATATAGTAATTTTTTGTATGCTTTTGGTATTGTAAATATATATTCCAGTTGAATACTTACAGAGTATCCTAAAAGACTTTGAAGTAACATCTTAAATGACTGCCTGTTAGAACAACATAAAAATCACAGACTTTTAGATAAATAGTAATTTGAACATTTTAATTTATTAAATAACATTTAAGATAATTCTCACTTTTTACTTCTGTTTTGAATTTTTCTTACTGCAGGGTCACTGCTAGAACCTGGAACTGCCTAATCAGCTTTCCTATTTCCTCAGTTTACCAGTTTTGCACTCAATTGTTATTCATTTTGTGTGTGTATCTTTACAGAAGCAGTAGTTTAATGGAAATCATAGTCTGGCTTCTTGCATGTAAAATTTTGCATCAGAAATCCAGCATTATGTTTTACAAAGTTGTACTTCAATCTAAAAGGACAACTGTATACAATTGAACTTAATCAAGTAATAAAATGTTTTCTTTTTGAAACTTTGACTTTTTCCTTAATGAATAAAAGACACCTGGGGCTGGAGTTGTGGCTCAGTGGTAGAGCGCTTGCCTGGCATGTGTGAGGTCCTGGGTTCAATCTTCAGCATCATACATAAATAAATAAAATGAAAAGTCCATTGACAACTAAAAGAAATTTTTAAAAAAGACATTCAAGGAACTTTTTTTAAGTCATAAAATCTAACAGGGCTTCTTTGTTTCTTCACAAGCATCTTTTCAGTGTCTTTTTAAAAAAATGTTTTTTAATTGTTAATGGACATTTATTTTATTTGTTTATTTGTGTGGTGCTAAGAATCAAACCCAATGCCTCACACGTGCCAGGAAAGTGCTCTTCCACTGAGCTACACCCCCAACCTCAATGTGTCTTTATTTTTTTTTTCAAGTTAAAAAACACTCCATCTTTTTTATTGTTAATTTTCTTAGCTGTCTTCTTTTTCATTAAATACTATCTTTTCTCCAAGAAATAAAGTATTATAATAAAGCTTGTAGCTAAACCCTACTAATAATCATCTTTAGAAGGAAACAGATCTGTTTTTAGAAAACAGATTTAAATGATTCCTAAATTTCTTCAGAACTTTTTTTCAATTGCAATTTTGCCATGAATTACTATTACTGTCAATCTACAGCCTTTCAAACTAGCTACTACAGTCTTTCTGCATTCTTCAACTTCTTCCTTAAAATGTTAGAGCTCATCTTGGGCTTTGTAGGTTTTTGTTTTATTTTTACTTTTTTATTTTTTTTTATACTGGGGGGTTGGACCCAAGGGTACTATATTATGGAGCTTCATCCCCAGTTCTTTTATTTATTTATTTTTTTAATACAGAATCTCACTAAATTGCTGAGGCTGACCTCAAACTTGTGATCCTCCTGCCTCAGCCTTTCGAGTCTTTGGGATTATAGGCATGCACCACTATGCCCAGCTTACCTTGGGCTTTATCATTTTATTTGCTCTGATAATTTTATATTATCCTACATCTTTCTACTAGTGATTTCATCTTTCATTTAATCATTTAAGGGAATGAATATGATATGATGCCAAATTAGATGACAACAACAAGAAACACCAAAATGACAGCTGAACACAATATGCAAATAAGTAACCCTCATTAGTCCTTTTTATAAGTTCCATTTACATAGCCTGCTCTGCCATTTCTCCTGTTACATGTGGGATTTGGAGAATATATTCTATAAGAATAATGGTTTTGAGCATTCTCCCCCCTTATACTTTTTTCTCCTTGCTGAATTCTTCCTTCCTGCTTCACTCATTTATTCCTCTCCACTTGGCACCTTCTCCTCCACTTTGAGGATATATAGGATTGAGAATGAGTAAGTCTAATGCCAATAAAAATCTTAGGATGATACAGTTATGAAACAGATTTTTATTGTTTATTAGTCTTCTATTGTTCGGTTGTTATTGTTCTAGGCCTTTGAAATATTTTATTTAAAAAGTGGGATGATTAAAAATAAGATGCAGACATAAGTATATGCAAGTGGTATTAGACAGCTATAAATCGATAATTACGGTCATTAACTTAAGGCCATAAATGCCTATGGTTGTATTTCTTCCCTAATTCCTTATAGATTATAATTCACATTTAAATCAGCAGAGGCTAAAATAAATGACAAAAACTTCTATAACAAATCCAAGAAAGCTAATTTGCTTGGACTGTTGCTTAAATCTCTCTGTACTCCCATCTACTTCATTCTCATATTCGGAATACTATAAGGTAAAAATATATCAACTGTCTGTGTAACTCCTAGGCAACTAATTTGCTCACTTTTTCATTTAAGTTTTCTCACCTCTGAAGCAGGAATAATAATAGTATCTATCACACAGAATTCTTATGATCATTATCCCCAAAGGGCATAGAACAATTCTAGGTACATAAGTGTCTCTATCCACCAGAGCTCCACAAGAGAATTAGGCCCTATAGAGAAAAATGATTTGAATTAGTTCTTGTACTAGGAGTACCTAGTAAGTACCAGTTCAGATGCATAGGAATTATTAAATCATTTACTTGTAATAATGCTGTAGGCATCAGGGCTTAATTCCTTTGAGGAACCTCAAGTGAAAAGGCCTCATAGTTGCTCAGAATATTTTAACTATTATTATTTTGGTTGCAAATGACAGAAATCCATATTCAAACTGGTTTACTTAGTTGTTTCCTAAGTGAAAAAACAAGGAAGGCTTCAGAGATGGCTTTTTAGAATTCTGACTATCTCTACCATTCTGTTGGTTTTGGCCATTGGGTCAAACTAAAATTTCTAACTAAATTTTCAAAATATAGACTTATGGCTAAAAATTATGTTTTTAGAACATATTTAAGAAATTAGCGTATTTGAAATATAGTAGTTTCTAAATAAGAGTTCATTCTTAGATAATTGTATCTGGTAGTTATGTGTTTAAATATATAAGAAAAATATTAAAGTCCTGGAAAATCTATATTTATGCTTTTTTATCTACACTAATATTAGTTACATTGACCCAATTTATTAAGGTTTTTAAGATAAGCTGCCAAAACAAAAAGAACAAAATCATAAAACAAAAGGTGGGGTGTACAGAAATAACTTGAAGAAGGGATTTTGAAGTACAGACCAAGGGTAGTTAAGGATACGATCAAGTTGTCAAGGACAGTTAATTCAAAAGAGCACATTTATAGGAGTGGTGCCTTGACTTCACAGGGTAGCTATCCATTCTGTGGCTGGAGCAGTTCCAGTTATTTCTTCTTCCAAGGATGTTAGGGGAAATAAAAAAGTGGATGTGGACTTGGCTTTATGCAGAGGTCTAAACCAGATTTCCAGGGTCCCCTCTTACTGTGCTTTTGAAAAAATAGCAAGAGGAATCTCCACTTTGGAAAATGTTCTTCCATTGTAACCCATTGTTCTCAAGGCAGTCATACAGGCCCTAAGACACATTTGAAACCTACTTATAAAAAATGTAAATACTCAGTACTAAGATTACTTTTATAGAGATTGCAAAGCTGTCTAAAATTATAGTGTACATCTTTTTTGTTTTATGTGCACCAATATTGATGATCTTCAGGTTGTATTGTTGGGAGAGATCAGCAAAGTGTAGAACAGCATGTTTAATGTCTGTTGTATGGGTAAAAATAATTGAGTATGTGTTCATATGTCTTATACATTATATACGTACAAACTATCATGGGTAGACTACACTAAAAAGCTAATAACAATGGTTATCTCCATGGAAGGAAACTGATTAGTTGGTAACTGTTAAAAGTAAGCCCATACTTTTTCGGTATTAGATATTTAGCAGATATCTCTGATCAGAGCTTCAGAACATTCTAAGCATCCACACATGGCTTCCTAATTATAAATAATCTGGAGATACCAAACATAATTATGAAATTATGATTTTTTTTTTTTTTTATCTTATGGATGGATATTTATAAATTAGCATAAGAACGATCATGATAAAGATATTTTTTTTTTTTTTTTTAATTTTTTATTGTGGGTTGTTCAAAACATTACAAATTTCTTGACATATCATATTCCACACTTTGATTCTAGTGGGTTATGAACTCCCACCTTCACCCCATTATGATTTTTTTTAAGTACTGGGGTTTGAATCCAGGGGACTTTACCACTGAGCTACATCCCCAGTCTTTTTTATTTTTAGTTTGAAGAGAGGGTCTTGCTAAGTTGCTGAGGCTGGCCTCAATCTTGGAAACTTTCTGCCTCAGCCTCCCTGAATTGCTGGTGGTTTTACTCTTTTAAGCCTGTTAGCTGAAAAGTTCACATTTGTTTTCAGGTAGTATAGGGAAAAGGTAGGCTGCATGTGGTGGCACACACCCGTAATCCCAGCAGCTTGGGAGGCTAAAAGAGGCCATCAAGGCCCACATCAGCAACTTAGCAAGGCCCTACACAACTTAGTGAGATCCTCTCTCAAAATTAAAAATAAAAAGGGCTGGGGATGTGGCTCAGTGGTTAAGTACACACCCCTGGGTTCAATCCCTGGCACCCCCCCAACAAAAAAAAAAAAATTACACACACACACGTACGTATACTTATGCTGCTCTATATCTTGAAATATTTGAGTACATTCTATGAAAATTGTCTTTTGTTTTTGCTTTATTGTATTATCACAAAACAGAAAGAAGAAGGAAAGCTTCAAGGACAGCTTAACAAGTCTGATTCTAACCAGTATATTAGGGAACTGAAAGATCAGATAGCAGAGCTGAATCATGAGGTAAGTGATAAATTTTGATCTTCACATATTTCTTTCTTCCTTCCTCTGTATTGTAACAACACTGTATTACTGGTTGTAAGACTGAGACTTTTATGTTAAATTCTATCTGAATTTTTGATTATAATTAATAATAATATTTTAGAAGATTATCTTTTTGCAAGTATTCTTCTGTTCTAATATTGTAGATTTGTTTTCCTTCAACCTCTGATTATGACCTAAAATGATCGATTAATATTTTCATGAAAAATATTTTTGTTGTTGTTGTCTGAAATTCTTTGATAGTTTTCTTAGGTTTCAAATTTGCCTCAGTTAAACGAAAGTTTTCCTTACAGATATAGAACAGGTTCGTGGAACTTAACTGTTGTGGGTAGAGGGAAGTCTTTTTACTCTTGCCTGCCTTTCTCCCTCATGGTGGTATTACTGAGATTGCAAAAAAGGATACTTGCCTAACTTCAGTTAACAGATTTCTTAGTATTTGAATGCTTTTTAAACTGGCACTACCTAGAACCTGTGAAATCCAACCCATGAAATTTTCCTAATTTTACTAGATATTATACTAGTTTATATTACTCAAACTAATGTATTTTGACACGAGAGATACTCTGTGAATGTGGCTCTTAAGTCGACTTCCCTATTCTTTATTATTTTCTAATGACAAATATCTGGCAACACAAATAAAAAAGTATATTTCTTATTTTGATTTTTTTTTATAAAATAGTGTTTAGTTACAGTGTTGAGATTTGAAAGAGTAGCATAAACTTGATTTGTTAAGAAAATAAAAGAAGATGAAAGAAACTCATTTTGGCTGCTAAATGATTTTAAACCTCAAAGGAAAAAGTTTAGAAATTACCCTTTCCTGATATTACACACTTCAGTTGAAGTCTGAGTGTTTTTAGGTAATACCTCCTGGAGGTAGTCAATCTAAGAGTAAATTCCAAGTGAAAAAGAACCAAACCATAGGCAAAAAGATAAATATTAGATGTAGTTCAATTCAGTTTATCTTGAAATACTAAGGATCATTCCTGTAAATATTAATTTTTAGCCATGATAACATTTGAAGGATTCAGTATTCTATGTAATCTTTACCTTATTGTGTACATTTTTTGTAATCTTTTTATCTACAGCATGTATGAAAGAAAACAGTTACAAAAAAAATAAGCCATATTCTAGAAATCCTTATTCTTTTGAAAACCCTACAAATTATTCCTTGTGTTTGAAAGGTGTTCTCAAAGAAAATTGTGACTAAAATAAACAATCTCCCATTTAAATTTTTGAGGTCTAGTGATAAGGAATCATTAATGTTGCTGAACTTTTAGAAAAAATTACATCAAGATTGGCTGATTGATGTAATTAAAAATTACATCAAGATTAGTTTTATTCTAAAACTAGGCTAAAAAAAAATCAGTCGACAAACTTTAATTTTGCTTATCATATGACCTGACTAAAAATAATGGTATTTTTTTTAATGTGGCACTTGTGAAAGCAGTTTCTTTTCTTATACAAACATGAAAACTAAACACGATAGAATTTTCTTCTGTTAAAGAGCCAGATGGTGCTGGGCTCCAGTGGTGCACACCTGTAATTCCAGCAACTGCAGAGGCTGAGGAAAAAGGATTGCAAATTTGAGACCAGCCTTGGTAACTAAATAAGACTCTTGGCAGGTTAGCAAGATACTGTCTCAAAATTAAAAAAAAAAAAAAAGAAAGAAAGAAAAGAAAAAGGAACTGGGGATATAGCTCAGTGGTAAAGCACTTCTGGGTTCAAGCCCCAATACCAAAAAAAAAAAAAAAAAAAGAGGAGGAGGAGGAGAACTAAATCGTGCAAATTAAAGAGAACAATTTGTGATAAGATGCTAATAACTTTATGGTTCAGAATAGCCAAAGTCCTGGGCTTAAGCAGGCCCTAGTCAGAAGTCATGGGAGAGAGATGGGAATAGTACAGTACCGCTAGGGACCACACATGTAAGAGTTCAGAGGTAAGCATGAGAACAAAGTTGGGAGTTTAGAGTGGGTGAGATTCAACTAAAGGATAAATTGACTAAGTTGGACTAAGGCATAGGAAGGAAGAGTAAACTAAGCAGAACCAGATTATGGTGATTCTTTAAAGCTAGAAAAGGTAATATGAAACCATTGTGGGTATTCACTTGGAAGTTCTGTTTCATTATATTTCCTGAGCATATTTTATTTTTCACCTGTTTAAAAGTTTTATCACTGAAGAGCATAAATGACAACAAGTGAAAAATATAAACCAAGTATTGATTGTGTAGGCTTTCTACAAAAATTACTATTGTAATTGCTATTTTATTGTTGGATCAGCTCTTTTGAAGTGGTTAAATACAGGGCTGGTGATGTAGCTCAGTGTTAGAGCACTTGCCTAGCATTTGCAAGATTATGGTTTGATCCCTAGTCCCAAAAGAAAAGTGATTAAATACAGTACCTCTTTTTTATTCCACTATTTTCATTGTTTGATAGAGCACTTCACAGTTTAAAAAAAGATAACCAAAGTCAGTCTAATTTCTTCAATTTAACATTTGTATATTGGAATTTGCCCTAATCATTGGCTTTCAATATGAAAATTTACTGCAAAATATCAATAATTGTATTTTGAGAATGTGACTGTTAATAGTCACTTTGTTCACTGATTTTTTAAAATTTCTCTATAATTGAAGAAAATGTTGAGAAAAACTTTACACTTTGATCTTCCTGAAGACAACTATGACCCTTTAGCATAGTCAGCTGGATGAAATAATGAAGTAGGTTATTTTTATGAGTAGCTGAATACATTGTTATTCTATAAAATAATTATTATTTATAGACTACCCACTATGAGCATAATATTGTGTCAGACACTTTGTAGTTATTATTCCTAACCTTCTTAATAATCCCATCTGAAAGTGGTCCTCATTTGCATGAGTGTGGAAACTGAAACTCAAAATCATTATCTTGCTAGGCATTATATGAGCAAGAAATGGTAGAATCAGGATTTAATTTAATTTGGCTTGTTCTTTTTTAAAAATATTTTTATTAGTTGTTGGTGAACCTTTATTCAGTTTATTTATTTATTTGTATGTGGTGATGAGAATCACATCCAGTGCTTCACCCATGCTAGGCAAGCACTCTACCATTGATCCACAGTCCCAGTCCTGACTTGTTCTTTTCTATACTGCTTACAGAGACATTAGATTAAAAAACTTGTCATCAGTATCTAAAATCTGAAGAAGGTACTTACTAACAGTATTTTAACTGTGTTGTTCACCCCACCCCCCGTTACAAATGAATTTTTCATATATTCAAAATGAGTGCTGCAGTTGACCTAGCCACAAGAACTAACTGTCTCTCTCTGTTGGCATTGCAGAGGGAGGTTTATCTGTACTTGCTGCAACTTACTGTGATCCATTCTAGTGCCTTCTCTCACTCCCAACCCGTTGTAATCCCTTATTACCTGATTAGTTTTGCTTCTTATTTTTTTACTTATTTTCCATAGGAATTTTTAAAGTTAGAGCCTTTTACACATTGCCATTGCCTTCAGAGAAGCCATTATGTGGAAACCCTTGTTTACATAGACCTAACAAGAGCTGGGGTTAAATCTTACTGAACTTCTTACCCCTTGTCCTCATAGACAAGAACCTGGCTATCGAAGTACTTTTTCCTATCCCATTCTCCTACCTATCATCAGAGTACCTGCTATGCACTAGACATTGAGTTTATAACTGAAAATAAAGATTGAAATACAGTTTACACTCTTAAAGGTCTCATAGTCTGCAGTGGAAATAGGCATACAAATAAATTGCCACTCGTTATGAGAAGAATTGCAGTGTAGTGACTATCATTTATTGTTCTGTGCCAGATTTTGTACTGTTATACTTGCTATTGTTTATTTAAGTCCTCATAGTAGTCCTATGAAGAAGGTAACATCATTGTCATTCATGTTTTACATGCGATAAAACATAGGTCTGGGGAATAAAGTAACTCCCCACAGTCATGCACTAGTCAGTAAAGAGGTGGGATTTTTTTTAGGTCAGGTTACGTATAACTTATACTTACACTTAAGTCCACACACTCCAAGCCCAACCACCATATGCTATGTAGCCTCCTTAGAAATATAACGGGATAAGATGGTAACAACAACTGGGACAGTTTTGAAAAATGAAATTTGTCAGGCAAATTGATCATCTTGAAGGTTTAAATCAGAAACGTGAAACAAAATTGCAAGTTCTGGGAATTAATAACCACCTCCTTTTGCAACACAGGAGTATCTTCTTAACAGCTGCTGACCACCAAAAACAAATGATATATTTTGTAAATGCCAGGAAAAGGAGATAGAAGAAGGTTGAAAATATTCTGGTTTAGAAGACAGAGGAAATGTACTCAGGACTCATTTAGATACAGACATCTGGGAAATCAATCTTATGATTCAATCAAATTGTCAGCTAACTAGACTTCCCTGGGTCTTTTTGAGCCTTGCTATCATTTACAGTATTGTTTTATGGGAAAATGCATATTAGCCAACTGATTCAAAAATGTTTTTGGAATACAGATATATTTTTACTTTGTCTTAATAGTAGTGTGATGGTTGTAGTTCTGGTGGATGTTCTAGGAATTACAGACTAAGGATCGTTCACTTATACAAAAAGTAGACTATTCTTCAGGTTTGTTGAACATAATGATATCTAAATAAAATAATCTTAATGTACTTTATGTTCTTACCATTTTACAAAAGCAGTTCTAGTTCCGTTTGATTAGTATATTTTCTGTGTAGAGCAAATTTTCTGTATTTTTATTAAGCTTTCTGTGTTGTAGCTTCTAAAAGAGATAGTGCAGAACCTTTGGATAATTATTTTAATCTTTGTAAATATTCTGTAAAATTAATATTAATCCCATTTGATAGGCTCAGAGAGATTAAATAACTTGTCCAGGGTCACATAACTTAGTAGTAAGTTGCCAAAGCTAGAATTCAGGACCAGGACATTCAGTTAGATCACAAACATATTCAACTAGAAT